ACCTTTTTCTTATGTTCTCCTACATGCACATTAGTATCCACAAAAAAATTTAAATCATGTAATTTAACAGGAAAAAGTTTAGAATCACTTACCTCATCAAGAAGATAACATCCATTAGCCGTAATAGGCTTTTCATCCACCCGGTACACCTTGAAGATCACTGTTTCTTCCCCCACACTCATTCTTAGCTCTCTCTTTCCTACATCAATAATTGACCTACCGGTTGCTAAGAAGGGGCGTCCTAAGATAAGGGGAATATTTTCATCTTCCTCTATGTCTAGTACTAGAAAATCGGCCGGGAGTATGAACTTATCTACCTTGACCAATACATCCTCCACTATACCTAAAGGGTGAGTAAAAGATCTATCGGCTAGCTGCAAGGTCACGGAAGTAGGCTTAATTTCTCCTAAATTCAATTTCTCATAAATTGATAAAGGCATTAAATTTACGCTCGCCCCTTGATCACACAACGCCCGCCCAAAATACCTAGTACCTATTGTGCATGGAATGGTACAACTGCCCGGATCTCTAAGCTTCGGTGGAATTTTATTTGCAAGGATAGCACTACTTTGCTCATTGAGGTCTATGATTGCTGCACACTCCGGAAGCCTCATCTTCTTTGATACAAGTTCCTTTATAAACTTAACCCAATTCGGCATATGCTTAAGTGCCTCAACAAAAGGAATATTAACATGCAATTTTTTAAGATAATCCAAAAATGACTGAAATTGCATATCAAGCTTAGAGTTTTGAAAACGTTGAGGGAAGGGTACCTTGGGAGTAGGTTCACTTACTGTGATCTTTGTGTTGCTTGACCCGACCTCGGTTTTTTCCTTGGGCTCCTCTACAATAGGCGGTGGTGCAACGGACTTTTTAGGAACTTCCTCTAATTGCCTCCCATTTCGCAAACTCACTGCATTGCACTGCTCGATGTTGCTCTTTCGAGGATCTTCCGTATTCGACGGCAGTGCTCCCGACGGCCTCGCGTTTAGTTGGGTTGCAAGTTGCCCCATTTGTGTCTCAAGGTTCCGAATGGATGCTTGAGTCGCCGTCATGAATTTTGCTAAGATGTCAGCGAGGTCAACTCCTTGGGGTGGAGCTTGAGGTGGTGCTTGCCTTTGTCCTTGCTGATTTCCTCCCCATCCAAAGTTGGGGTGATCCTTCCATCCGGGATTGTACGTGTTGGGGTACGGGTTACTCTGTTGTCGGTTGGTGTCATGCACATAATTCAGAGACTCCGTTTCTTCTATGCGTTGGTCGGGAACTTGGACTGCGTGGACTTGCTGAGCCTGCAAAGCCGCTACTTGCTTCGATAGCTTCTCCAATTGGGCCGTGATTGCAGTGACTCCGTCTAACTCCAAAATTCCTCCCGTCTTGACTGCTCCGCTATTCGACCGGTCTGATGCTTGCATGTATTTGTTTCTAGCGATTCGTTCCAAGAGCTCGTATGCTTCGTCGTAGGTCAAACTCATGAACATACCTCCAGCTGCAGAGTCGAGCACTGTCCTCGAGTTGTCTTGCAGTCCATCGTAAAATATTTGCAGTTGGCGCCACTCTTGTAGTCCGTGATTCGGGCACCTCCTCACTAACTGTTTGAACCGCTCCCACGTCTCGAATAACGCTTCACCGGCTTCTTGTATGAAGTTTTGAATTTCTCGCCGGATTCTCTCAGTTTTTGTTGGGGAGTTGTATGTGTTCATAAAGAGTTGCGCTAGCTGGGCCCACGACGAGATGGAGTGCGGTGCACGAGTTTGCAACCATTCTCGGGCTGCTCCTTGTAGGGAATGCTTGAACAGGCGGAGTTGCAATGCTTCGGGTGTTACTCCGTTCATCTTGTGCGAGTCACACGTCTCGAGGAAGTTGACCAAGTGAAGATGTGGATCTTCATGAGCCAATCCGCTGAAAAGACCATTGTTTTGGAGCATCGTGAGGAGTCCCGCTCGAATTTCGAAATTATTGGCTTCAATGGGGGGCTGCTGGATACTTGATTGAAACCCATTGAGCGTTGGAACGGTGTACTCGTGCAGTGCTCGTTGACGAGGTGGTGGATTAACTAGCTGGCGTTGCTCTTGCTCGTTGACGATTTCTCTCGCCACATTCGGTGGGCGCCTTTGGTCACCTTCTCCACGATTATTCTCGTCTTCCATCGTTGCCGGATCGTTTTGGGCTAACCGTTGATTTCTCCTGGCTTGCCTAAACGTTCGCTCAATTTCGAGGTCAAGAGGTAGTAGGCTTGTGTCGTGTCCTCTTCGCATAAAAAGTACCTAAAACAAAAAAAATAAAAAATAAAAAAGCAAAAAAAAAATTATTAAATAAAATAAAAAAATAAAAAATTGGCTGAAGTAAGAAAAATTGCTCAAATTTAATATTAGGATAAATAAATAATTTAGCCTTATTCCCCGGCAACGGCGCCAAAAACTTGTTGGGTGCTAAATACCAACACGCAAGTGCACGTATCGCAAACAAGTAATAAAGTGGACTCGTGAGAGTCGGATGTCGATCCCACAGGGAATACGCAAATTACCTAATCCTAAGTACCAAATTCTAACAATTATGATTTTTATCCAGCCTACGCAAGTTTGTCAAATTAAATTAATTAAACAACTAAACTAATTAAGAAAGCAAATAACACGGGAAAATATCAATTAAAACGGACCAAGGATTTTATCTTCCCCCTATGCAAGAATTGCTCACCCAAAATCCCTCAATTATGAAATATATGATTCATGATTATTAACCCGAGACACTAATTTAATCATAACCCGCTGTCGCGTGTATTATGAGTCTATTATTCATAAGCGATTCACTATATGTCTATGCAAACCAATTATGAGTAAAGCATTAACTAACAAGTCTCGTAAATGGCTACCTAAGGTGATATCTGTATGTCTACGACACCACATGCAATTGACACACTCATCCGGTGAAAACTACTCGAAGGTTCTTCTACTTACCGTCTAATTATCAAAATAGCTCTGTCGAGTCAATCCCAATAATCACAGATAAAGCACATAAATAGATCAAGTTCATGCACTAACAATCATAACAAGTAGAAGAAATAATCATAAAATCATAATTGCATAATCTCAAGAAAAAGGGTTCGCAATCCCTACATAGGGTTCCAACAAAATCCTAGATTAAAAACTTAGCTACGCATAACGAAAAACATAATAAAAGTAATAAAAATCATAAACGCTATAAATAAAAGTCAAAGAGGGGAACTAGGATGAAGATTCGTCAAGTCTTCGTCTTCGTTCTTGTGCTCCTTGATCGCGTGTAGAAAGATGAAAAATAAAAACCTAAAGATTAAAGATAAAAGGTAAAAAGATGTCTCTAATTGTGTGCTTGTGGCCTTTATAGGGTGCAAAAATATAATAGGGTGGGTTTCCTTGTGTAATTAGGATTCCTTCACTGCGCCAATTCGACCATCCGGACGGCCGTGTGAGATTTATTCCTAAAATCCGCACGGCCGCGCGGCCTTCTGTTCTTCAGAATTCTGATTATTTCACTTTTGGCCCACTTTTTCTCTGAATTTGCAGTTTTCACCCCAAAAGTTACCAATTCTTCAATCTGCACCTAAAATACAAATAATAACCATATTAAGCACCAATTATCGTAAAAACACATCAAAAGCTCCAATTAAAAGGTACAATTAAGTGTATAAATATACACTTAACAGGCACCAATGATCGCGTTCGTCCGAACGGATGATGACGTGGGTATGAGGTCAGCCTGGTTCTATGTCGTCAGCTTCCAACTTCAGCGGAGTCTTGATCGTCCCGGCGTAGAAGCTCTGATGATCAAGTCATAAAGTGTATATTAAAATGTATATTGTATTCCAGTAAAGAAGAATTATTGAGTAACGGTTTGAGTGAACCCTCTATTTATAGATATGTCATGCCTTGGGATACAAGTCTTATTATGATTTTTAACCTAATTTTCTGTTAACTTGGGTTTGTCGCATTTAATGGGATTTTAGGTTTAAACACATCTTGGCTCATTAAAAACGACGATCTCAAGTCTCGGCCCATCACGATGTGACCTTACCTCTTGCTATAATCTCACCTCGTGAGATACAACCAAAATCCTCTTTTTGTTAGGATTTCGTATGCTCTTCTGACATAGATGGGCTTCTAGATTTAGGCATCTCTTGTTGGACCTCAATGTATAATTTTGTTTTATTGTGGACGAAGCCCATATGAGCGAAATAGCCCATATCACCAGCAAAAAGAATATGATTTACCATTGGGGGCCATGGGGACGTCTTCTTTCGGATAGTACGGAACCAACAAGAGGAATCTTTATACTCATAGAATCAATTAGCCAGAGCCAATGAAAGTGCAATTGAGCATCGAAGGATTTCGTCGAAACTAACTCCGGGCCCTCAACATGTGTTTTTTACGCAGGAAACGCCTTGTTTCTCTCAGTTGGATAAGGTTTTTGAAGGATTGTTTAGATTCTCGAAAAATTATTGCAAATTCGAGATGATTCGAGTTAATGTATTATTGATCGTATCTACGGTTATTATAAATTAATAACTCTAGTTTATCGGTTATTAGTTTGGATGTCGAATTAAAGTCGCCAACAAATTTGGAATTTACAAACCGCTATGTAGGTTGATCCTAACAAATAAGTACTATCAGAATTCAATATGCTAGTGACTTCTCCCGCAAATCTTGAAGGACATCGCACATTCAATTAAATAACAAGCTTCAAAGCCCATGAATTAAGTTGTAGGAGAAGAATGAGTGGAGAGATGATTCTTTCTGGCATCAACATTTTTTGATAACACTGAAATCAAGAAAACTACTCATACAATGACTCGTCAGGCGCAGCCTCTCTCCGACTGAGAATTGCATTTTTAGAGATCAAGCATTTTCTTCGAACTAAGGGATGCCCTATAATTATCTCTCCTCTTTCGTCAATCTATACTCGTGCTACACCCAGCATGTGCATATATTTTCATATAACAATATAAAATGAGAGCTATACACTTCATATACACCAAACAAGATTATGTCTAATTTAAACTCGTCTGAAGTACATTGAAGAAGAAACATAAGAAGAAGGGGGATGTTAATTTGTAGGAAATTATAGACTTACGGTAAATACCGAAAGTAGTATTCCAATGTTCTCATAAGAAATACCCCGGAGCAGCTAAGATACCAAATGGTGCTTCAACATAACTTAACTGCAAAAGGACATAAGTGAAAAGTTGCATAACATGAGCGAGCACCCTCTTTCCAGTGGTTATTCGTGGAAGGTTCGAGTGAAGCATTGGGGCAATTTGGCATCCTTTTATTCCACGGAGGCAACACCTTATTGGTTATGGCTGATAAGACTTATTAATTATACATTTGGTGGCGGCCATATCTTCCCAAATAACTCTTCGACACGTTTAGATTGGGTAGCATAACTATCCAATCCGGCTGTTAGAAGCTCCACAGCTGCGGGGCCCATAGCCGAGGCAAAGCTATATTGGTCCCACTTCACAAGCTGAAATTGATCACAAAGTAAAACTGGTTGAGGAACTAGTAAAAACTAGCTTGAGAAAGATACAATCACAACTTTGTTTTTCTTTTACTCTTCCAATAAGAGGAAGCTCCAAGGCCATATCTTACGCAGTTATTTTGATGCAATTCGAGAAGGCAATATGAAAGAAATAGACCAAGGCTATAGTTTGCATATAAGACTCGATCTATATCAAGGATAAAGGAGGAAAAATAAAGTAACTTTCGAACTATTGACCTAAAAATCGTTAGGAGCATGTTACAAGTTCAAAGGTGTTCAGTCATTGATATCCGTGTTCTAGAATTTTATACTAATGCACGTTTTCTTATCCTTTTTCAGGAATTTGGAAACCTTTAATTATGGAAGATCACATACGACATCCATGTGCATTTGATAGTTGTGATTTCAAATACTTCTACGTGTTTATGGACACAACTTTGGAAGTCAAATTAGATTCGTTTCAAAGCTGATACTATGACATGGTGCACAAATAGATTGTGAGTAACTCTCATCAATTCACACAAAGGAAGTGATAACCCACGGCAACCATAATAAAAGATAGTAAACTCCAGAATAATCCAACTCAAGATGGAGTAAACTGCATATCGAAATTGACAAATGCATAAACCATTTAACGTAGTATTTGAGGACAAGAGTTCATCTTCCTGACATGAATTAGCTCTGGTTCCAATAATATTAGCCTCCATGAAGAGTTATAAATAGAAAAAAAGAAAACAAACCTCTTCATTGCTGAAATTGTAGGAGGCAGCAGATTGTGGGGATAGCCTCCTCATAAGAGAATATTTCTCATCGGGAGGTGTCACAGATTCCTTTAGAGACTGCATTATCTTCAACGGGGAGATAATATAATCAACTCTGTTAAGAAAACAAGAAAAGAAAAGGAGAACAGTTTTATTCCGAGACCGAACAAGAACTAAGAGGTGTTGCAACTCAAACAAGTCATTACCCCAAAAGATTAAAAACATCCTGTTTGTTACGAATTGCTGCAGCCATCAATTTTGAGTTATGCCCATATTTATGAATGTAACTGTAGGCTTTCGTCACCTGAAACAGGACAGAAGGACAAGACCTCATAAATCGTTACCAAATGTATATTCTTCTAAATTCGTTAGAAATTATTGTGGCGGGGTAGTTCACAAGCACAGTTCGACAGTTACTTTTCAGCAAGTTGAGAAAATCCAACACATGCCTTTACTTCAACTTATGAATGAATAAGGATGAGAATGATAGATACTACCACAACTTATACCTTGGCCGCAGCAAATGTGCAGAGTTGATAGCATGTAACTATTCAAATGTAAAGAGTTAAATACGGAATAGAAGCTCGTAGAACTCACCAAAGCCAAGCCAGGATCTTCTCCTCTTTTAAGTGCAGCTTCTACTTCGGGGTCATTAGAATGGTTGCGCGCCCAGTCCTAACATGGATGGATAACTCGTTCTAGCATCATTATCACATCAAAAATAAAAATGCCAATCTAGTATATTCCTTATCAGAGAAAATTTACCCTAAGCCGACCAACAAAAATCTGAATAACGGAAGCACCAGCTTGAGCTGCAGCTGCAGCTTGACAAAAACTGTCAACACATAACCAGAGTCAAAAAACAATTATTAGCAAGGCAGCTTGGAAGTAAGAACATCTTTGAGGAAGGAAAACAATTTACTGCGAACAAACGTGAAGAATGGGGTAGTGCAAAAGTGTACACTCTACATGGAGTTGTGTTCCCTTTTATCTTAAAAAAAAATCGTGAAGGGATATATACCAATCGGCTGAAATTCATAAGAGGGTTAAGCAACTAGTACGTGAAAAATATTGAAATGACAAAGATACTATGAAGCAAGCCTTTAATAATGCCAAACCCTCCAGTATGAATATAATTACGTAAGTTCGGATGAACAAATTACTCCAGTGAAATGCATTAACTACTTGACAGTTGCAGAGTTATTTGAATTCTGAGGGCAATATGTAACGATATTGATGTTTGATAGACCGAGGGTTTGATTAACAACTCTTCAACATTGAAACTTTCTTACTGTTGATTTGACTTATATGTATGCCGTAGCTGACCAATGAAGATAAGATGAGTACTACCAACGGGGAGCAAATTTTGATATCAAGTAGTCTATAAATAGGCAACTAGAAATAGTTGCATGAGATAAACCATTATGGTGGATGAACTAACAAACAACTTAACCAAGCAGTATATGACAAATGCTGTTGAAGCAAGCAGATAAAGGCCATCCCTGCCCACATTTCGATTCATATAAATTTTGGCGTCATGCAAAGACCATTAACAGGATTAGACATTGAAATGATTTGTCGATCGGAACAGATTTAAAAGAGCACAAAAATCTTTCTGCCCTTTAATAAGATAATAAATAGGCAAGAAAGCTTTTTAAGAAATTTCACTTCGACACGTGGTCTACATGTCGAGTTTCAGTCACTTTTATATGCTATTACAGATCCAACTATGATGTTTCATGCTGGGAAACAGTTACAAACAGATTGTGTTTTGTACCAAGTTTTTTCACAAACCAATTGTCAAATAATAAAGAGCAATTAACTTTATAGAGCACTCATATCAACGTTGTATGACAACCATTACATAAATTTTCTAATTTAAATGAGCTTTTGGAACAACTTCACTTACAGTTTCAATACTTGAAACAGAATAAGCCTTGTTTACCTGTACACAAAAGTCATATGAGTCTGTATGCCCTCTGACTCCAACAACCGCGACGCTTCAATTCCCTAAACACAATAAAGCATTAAGAAATAAATAATGAAGTATCATAAAGCATGAGAAAGAAATGCAAGTTTAAAAATCAGATAGGTGTCTGTAACACTAACTTGCCAAGTTGAAGGAATTTTGAACAACAAACGTTGCGGAGGCACTTCAATGTCATGATACAATTTCAATAACTCGTGCACCTGAAAATCAATTCCAGTTTGGCAATCAAACAACCAATGAAAGTTACATATTATAGTCGAAGAATGCATATTGACAAAATAAAATGAAAATGCCGGCAAATTATAATCAAAGCATTTGACGGCTATTAGACATGAAATTCGTTAAAAATGCCTCAGCTGTAGCCAAAAACAGCTGTCATGATTCAAGCAATTAATAATCTCTGCTAAAAAGTTCTTCATTAATTAAAATACCTGTTATGATTCAATGACTCTTAAGCAGGTGGACAATGGCAGATGTCATAATAATATATATAAAAAAATTAAAAAAAAAATCAGAGGAACAGTTACCCTCCGAACAATGCCCTGTGTGTCGTATGCAAGACGAGCATCGACTTCAGTAGAAACACGACCAGGGACAAGTCTTGCAAGATCGCCTCCAACATTTACCAAAGCCTATTATTTAATTGATATATAAACGATCAGGATTATGCAATAAAATGTTAAGTAGAAGATATCATTCTGTTACAGTAGCACCTATAAAAACATACCTTGTTGAAGAAACATGTCATACGATCATCAGATTGTTCTAAGTTGTAACACTCTGAACCAGCCAACGCAGTATCAATAGCACTCTGCAACTCGTAAACAAGAAAGAAAGCAAATGAAATACTTTTACAATGAAAAGTCACGTAAATCCAAAATTCATATAATTGAATCTTTCTCAACTGTAAAAAGCCATTATATTACACCACTTACTTTATATAATTTAGGTGGTGTTTGCAAAAGCTTTTTCAAAAGCAGAAGTTATAGATTGTGAGTTAAGTTGATTTTAAGTGCTTATTTCTAAAAATTGGGGGTGTTTGCAAATTTACCGGAAAATAAACTTAAATAGAAAATATAGTCATGGGTGCTTAACAAATTATAGCTGAAAGCTGCTTATTTTAAGAGAAGCAAATTAAAAGCAAAAGTTCATTTTGCAAACACTTAAAAATAGATTATGAGCAAAAAAAAACTCATAATCTATTTGTAAAAACTTTTGCAAACACCACCTTACTAAGTTGGATCTAAACTTAAAGAGCATCATGATTCACACAAGCAAAATCCGACGAATCTGCTTAGACACATATCCGCACGCTGCACGCACACATACTGCAACTACTAAAAAAACGAACAGTCAATATTACCAAAACGAAAATAGCTAAAGAATTAAAACAATTAAAAATTACCCTGAATTTGGTATCAGGTAAGCTGCAAATGCCCAATAGTAGAGATGAGCTAACAGTGGCAGCAGTTGGAGGAAACCTATATATATTTATACATCAAAGACAAAAAAAAATTGAAATTAAGGAAAGATCAAGATCATTGCACAGCGTGTTGGTTAATTAATAAATTAAGAAATCTAATTACCTTTCAAAATCATCGAAAACAACAGTATCAGGAACGATCTCGCTGTAACCCGTCACCACATCCAATTCAGTGCTGAAACCTATCAGCGCGAATTCCAACACCAAAAAAAAAATCAAATTAAAAAACTCAAGATATACTTACAAAACGCATCAAATCAGATAAAATCAAAATGCATAATTACGAAATCAATTACCGGTGTCGAGAGAGGAAGAGAAATTCGTGGCAGCAGAAATCAAAGAAAAGAATCTCTGATGCTTGAAAACCGGACTAGGCTTCGCTGATCCGAAACATTTCCTATCCTGCTTAATTCAATCGACAAATATTTCGTTCAGAAACATGATGATGAATCGTCGAATACGAAACAGGTAGAAAAGTGTGTGAGTGCGTGAAATTTTTACCCGGACAGTGTAGGAAGAGGAGAGTATAGAGGGCAGCGGAGAAGGCAAAGTGACTGACATTTTTTATTCTGAAGAAATGAAATGGAAGAGGATGATTGATACTCACAAGCTGGCGAGAGATTATATATATATATTAAGGGGACAACACGGTACAACCATTGAAGTGAAAGGTACAACTCTTCAATGTATTGCTCCTTGAAGTGATCTCTATAAATGCAACGTTCGTTCTTATCTTATGTTAAATTTGACTTCATTTAATCAACTGTTACCTGACACCTTCTGAGAACTAACATCAAAGATTACATTTATCCAGGCTAAATTGCAAATAGGCATGTCACAAGGCTACTTAATCAAAAAAATCCGAATTTTCCTTTTCCGACAGGTCAATCGTTGTCTCCGGCGTTAACTTTTTTTTTTGAAATTTTATTTATAAAAAATTATATTTCGTTAATATTATTGTATTGGCCTGCAATATTACTGTCTGAATATTGCAGACAAAGACAATAATATTATTGTCAATGACAGTAATATTACTGTCTCAGACAGTAATATTGTTTTTAACACAATAATACTAATGTATTAATTAATTCTATCATCTTTGTCTGCAAATTGCTGTCTCCGACCGTAATATTAATGTTTGGAACAATAGTATTTAATAATATTAATGTTTTGATAGTAATATTACTATTTTGGCATTCAGTTTTACTGTCTTAGACAGTAATTTTGTTGTTAACACAGTTACTTAGAGAGAAAAAAATACAAAAACAAAAAGTTTAAAAAAAAAATCAACGCCAGCGTCAGCGGTCAACAACGGCTGACCGACGGAGAAAATAATTAAATTTCGGTCGAATATACACTAAAATAATTAAATTTCGGAGGTTCGGGGCAGCGCCACCGAAAAAAAAAATAGGAATTTTTATTTTTGGACAAAACCATAAAATAGGAAAATAAAGTCTTTTAGGACTTTTTTTGCATTAATTCGAACTTTGAATGGACTAAGAAATAAAAATTGGGTGGACTAAATAAATATATATATATATGTATAATTTAGTGGATGGGATTGAGTATATTCATTTATTATTTTTCTATGTTTTCTTTAATTACAAATACTTAATTTTACTTTTTTTATATGAATTAAAATGTATAAAAACACAAAAACACAGCAGAAAAGCTATATATATATATATATATATATATATAT